AGCACTACTTCTTGCCCACGGGTGAGTTTTGCCTCACAGTGGATATTTGGCAATGTCTGGAGATGTTTCTGGTTGTCACAACCATGGGAGCTGGGGTGCTGCTGGCATCTCGTAGGTAAACGCCATGATGCTCAGCATCCTACAGTGCGATAATCACCTAGTCCAAAATGTCAGAAGTGCTAAGGCTGAGAAGCTCATTTTAGAGTAATTTGTTAAAAGAGAAGTTGTATGAATGAAGGAGTGAAACCTTAAATCTTTTCCATCTTATAGGTAGGCTTGGTACAGATGATGGGCAAGGGCATCTAACAAACTTGAAAAGATTTTATGTCGGGGGTTCTGCTAAAGAAGACTACATTTGCCACAGGGGTGAAAAGTAAGAGTTTGGATCACAAAAGTGAGAGGAGGTGACTTTTTCTGGCTTGCTTTTCCTGGCTTGTTAATTTCACAAGTGAAGATGTGGTTTTCACCACTGAAGTGAAAACAGACATTGGCACCTCTTGAGCATCTGTTAAATGTAAATTTTGATTTGTTTGCATGTAGATAGGGGTTGTGAGCTTGAAATCAGTTCATTTCTGTTCTACAGAAGACCTCATTTTATTTCCTCATCTAATTTATTTGTTTATTTTTCTGAGATGGAGTCTCATTCTGTCACCCAGACTGGACTGCAGTGGGCGATCTCAGCCCACTGCAACCTCTGCTTCCCGGGTTCAAGCAATTCTCCTGCCTCAGCCTCCCAAGTAGCTGGGTTTATGAGCGTGAGCCACCACACTCAGCTAATTTTTGTATTTGTTTTGTTTTGTTCTTGTTTTGAGACGGAGTTTTGCTTTTGTTGCCCAGGCTGGAGTGCAGTGGTGTGAACTTGGCTCACTGCAACCTCTGCCTTTGGGGTTCAAGTGATTCTCCTACCTTAGCCTCCCGAGTAGCTGGGATTACAGGCATTCACCACCACGCCTGACTAATTTTGTATTTTTAGTAGAGATGGAGTTTCTCTGTGTTGGTCAGGCTGGTCTCGAACACCTGACCTCAGGGTGATCCACCTGGCTTGGCCTCCCAAAGTGCTGGGATTACAGGCATGAGCCACCACTGTTTTTTTTTTTTTTTTCTTTTCTTTTTTCTTTGAGACAGAGTCTTGCTCTGTCGGCCAGGCTGGAGTGCAGTGGCACGATGTCAGCTCACTCCAACCTCCACCTCCTAGGCTCAAGCAGTTCTTCTGCCTCAGCCTCCCAAGTAGCTGGGATTACAGGTGTGTGCCACCACGCCCAGCTAATTTTTGTACTTTTAGTAGAGACAGAGTTTCACCATGTTGACCAGGCTGGTCTCAAACTCCTGATCTCAGGTAATCCGCCCGTCTTGACCTCCAAAAGTGCTGGGATTACAGGCATGAGCCACCATGTCCGGCCTCTTGTTTTTTTTGAGATGGAGTCTCACCCTGTCACCTAGGCTGGAGTGTAGTGGTACAATCTCGGCTCACTGCAACCTCCGGCTCCTGGACTCAAGGGAACCTCCCACCTCAGCCTCCCTAGTAGCGGGGATTACAGGTGTGCACCACCACGCCTGGCTAATTTTTGTATTTTTAGTAGAGAAGTGGTTTTGCCATGTTGCCAGGCTGGTCTTCAACTCCTGACCTCAGGTGATCTGCCCGCTTCAGCCTCCCAAAGTGTTACGTTCACGGGCATGAGCCACCATGCCCAGCCACTCATCTCTTTCTAATGTCAGTTTGTTGATATGGTTTGCCATTTCATTGAACTAGAAATAGACAAAGGTCAAAATGGGTAAGGAATGAATTTGCTCATAGTTCTTTTTTGCTGTTTACTTTAGCAGAGGAAGGTTTGGTTAATTGGCTCCCAGGAAAGAGTAAACGTGTGCACATGTGTGCAGGTGCTTGTACTTGTGATGGAAGCGTTCGTAAGGTAAGGAGGGTTGTCAGTGCAGCTTTATTTTACTTGGAAAATGCTACCTTTAAAAGCAAAAGACAACTTCCTGCTTCCTTCATAAAAACATTGGAAATCATTTGATGAATTGGAGACATTTTGACTGCAGTTGATGTAGTTTTCACAGTGATTTCTGGGCACAAGTAAGGTTGCACAATTCATTTTATTCATGGATTAGATTTTGTTTGATAAAATGGACAGAGAGAGCAGAATCTAAACTTAGGGTAGTTTTAGCACTCTATTCTTGACCTTGTATGAAAACTGGAATTTTTAGTGTTTTATTTTTTGGGTAAGCTATTCAGAAACTGTTGGCCTGTGAGGTACTAGTCATTTTTTTCTACCCTGTAGTAATAAAGTCTGTCTCTGTTTTGTGGCAGCCACTAAATTATGTGTTCACTTTTATCCAGAACCTAAAGGCAGTATCAGCAGGGAATGAGTATACTGGGCAGGAAGCCTTTCTTTTTAGCCTTTTTTAGCCTCCCTCCTAGCTGTGCTTAGGTTTTTCGTACAAAACTAACAATAGTTCTTTGCAGGAGGTAGGGTTGCAAAAAAGTAAACACAAATACTGTGATGTTTTCTGTATCAAACTAGAGCTGAATTTCCATTGATATTTGATGGAGAGGTATTGGCTTGCAATATTTCTTTTTTTTTTCTTTTTTTTTTTTTTTGAGACAGGAGTCTTGCCCTGTTTCCCAGGCTGGTGTGCAGTGGTGTGATCTCAGTTCACTGCAACCTTTGCCTCCTGGGTTCAAGCAAGTCTTGTCTCAGTCGCCCGAGTAGCTAGGATTACAGGCATGTGTCACCATGCCTGGCTAATTTTTATATTTTTAGTAGAGACAGAGTTTCACCATGTTGGCCAGGCTGGTGTAGAACTCCTGACCTCAGGTGATATGCCTGCCTTAGCCTCTCCAAAGTGCTGAGATTACAGGCATGAGCCACCACGCCCAGCTGAAAAGGAACCACATCTCTTTAAGAAGCGGGTAGGTTGGTCAGGCACGGTGGTTCATGCCTGTAATCCCAGCACTTTGGGAGGCCAAGACAGGTCAATCAGTTGAGGTCAGGAGTTTGAGACCAGCCTGGCCAACATGGTGCAACCCCGTCTCTGCTAAAAATACAAAAAATTACCCAGCTGGTGGCGTGCTCTGTAATCCCAGCTACTCAGGGGGCTAAAGCAAGAGAATCACTTGAGCCCGGGAGGCGGAGGTTGCAGTGAGCTGAGATCATGCCACTGCACTCCAGCCTGGGAGACAGAGTGAGAATCCGTCTCAAAAAAACAAACAAACAAACAAAAAAACGGATAGGTCAACATAACTGTCTATTTACATGGTTTAAAAACAGAATCTCAGGAAGCTGCTCCTAATGGTGGTGGTTTGAAACCCCCCTCCCCCCCATTTTAAGTGATTTTATATACAAAGTCTTCTTTTCTTGCCCAAATTCAAGAAGTTGTCTTTGTTTCTACGATGTGAAATCAGGAAATACACGTCTGTCGAGATGTATAAAGTAGTGCTGAATTTCAGCTCAGCTGATTTGCCAATATACAGAGAAAAACACCTGTTCTTTGAGATACACAGTGCCTACTGGTGGAAATCAGCCAAAATTGTTTTTTGGTAGTCACTAAACTCTGTTACCCTGGATTTTATTCTCTTTCGCTTCCCCCACTACTAGCCTAATAAATATTTCAGAATAATAACAAAGTTTAAAGAAGGAATACTTAGCCCATTCTTCTGAAATAGTCTTTGTTTTTCTTCTCTGTTTACTGACCTCCTTTTGAGGATAAAATCTTATTTCCTTTCTTTATCCTGTAGTTTCCTTTGTACACTCATAGCCTTTCTTCAGATGCAGATTTTGTAGTCAGATAAAAGTCTCTACTTTAAGCACTAATTAAATCAGGAAAAGATGATGGGCCTGGAGTTATTGTCTTCAAGTTCCTGATTTTGAGGAAACTCTGATTATGTCAGTAGTGCAGTTATCTGATAGTAAGGTTACACTGTCCAAATAAGGTGACTTTGGAAGAAAGTAACATAAAGCCATCTCATGATCTGGCAGCCTTTCGCAGTTTCGCTTTCTGCAGAGCAGCATTCCTTCTGACTGTCTCCGCCAGCCTCCATGAGAGTGGGGTTTCTGTCTGCACGGCGTTGCAGTGCAGCCTCTCCGTGGTGGCAGAATCTTCCATGCTGTGCTGGTTCATTGTCTTTCCAGCTGTGCTGTGCACTGTGCTGGTTGCTGAGCTCTTGAGACCGGGCTCGTCTCAACTGAGAAGTGCTGTGTGTATAAAACACACACCAAGTAGAGAAGACTTGATAGGAAAAAAGTGTAAGGCTGGGTGTGGTGGCTCATGCCTGTAATCCTAGCACTTTTGGGAGGCTGAGGTAGGAGGATTATTTGCGTCCAGTTTGAGACAAGCCTGGGCAATATAGCAAGATCCCCTCTGGAAAAAAAAAAGTGTAAAACATCTCATTAATAAATTTTTATATCAGGCTGGGTCTGGTGACTCACGCCTGTAATCCCAGCGCTTTGGGAGGCTGAGGCAGGTGGATCACCTGAGGTCAGGAGTTTGAGACCAACCTGACCAACATGGAGAAACCCCGTTTCTACTAAAAATACAAAACTCAGCTGGGTGTGGTGGCGGATGCCTGTAATCCCAGCTGCTTGGGAGGCTGAGGCAGAATTGCTTGAACCCAGGAGGCAGAGGTTGCAGTGAGCCAAGATCGTGCCATTGCACTCCAGCCTGGGCAACAAGAGCGAAACTCCATCTCAATACATACATACATACATACATTTTTATATCAGTTACATGTCGAAATTATAATATTTTGGGAATTACATAATCTGTTTTTAATGTGGCTACTAGAAAATTCAAAGTAACATGTATGGCGTGCCTTCTATTTCTTTTGACCAATGCTGCTGTTTCTGAGAGATTGCAGATTCATGGAGGGGGAATCTGCGTGGTTGGTTTGTTTTTTGCCTGTATAGTGGTTGTGCCACCATTTCCAGGGAATGAGGTTATGATTACATTTCTCTAGTGATCCATGAATGACTGAGATCTTGTAATTTGTTTTGTTTTGCTAGTGATGATGGCCAAAGAGAAGCCACCGATAACTGTAGTTGGAGATGTTGGAGGCCGCATCGCAATCATCGTGGTATGGTTATGTGTCATCCATTTGCAGAGGTGACACTCCTGGCTCTTGGTCAGTAGGTTGTCCACTCTGGGACTGTATTTCTAGGAACGATGATCTAAATGGATCCACATACCCTTTCTCACCCAGACTCCCTTGTGCCAAGTGGCAGAACCCTCTATCCAGGTGAACACACATCAAAGTATGACCCACAGATAGGAAATGAGCACAGTACTCCCATGAGAAAATTCAGCACCTTCACCTTCATCATGTGGATTCTAGGTTCTTTAAACCAGCTCAGCTCATCATGCTTGAGCATTAGAGCCGAAAGACGGACCGAAGATGAGCTGTTCCATTTTCACGACTAAGAATGGATGTCCCCGTGCAGACTCGTTCTGTATGTTGACATAGTTTTTTTTTCCTAGCTCTAAATGTCTGCTGACTAGTGGGTCACGAGTCCTTTGCTGTAGCACACTTTATTTCAGTTTTCTTCTCATGTCACGTTCTATTTGGAAAAAAAAATAAATGGAACGCTGGCTATGTGGGATTCACCAGAAATGTGAAACAGGAAAGTGAGTGTTGGCAGTCCTCAGCTCCAGCCGTAACGTCACAGGTGCTTGGCTGCGCCCTCCTCTGACAGACACACAAGGTACTGTCAGGTACTTCTGTTACCATTTCTGGATGCTCAGTCTTTGACCTAGGCACACAGCTCTGATTTTCCATCGGAAATCCTCTGAAACCGAGTGCAGGAAAGAGGAGAGCAGTGTGTGCATTGACAGTCTGGGCTAGAGGGTGTTTTCTTGCCTACCAGCTCACTCTGTTCCCCTCCCAGGATGACATTATTGACGACGTGGAGAGTTTTGTTGCTGCCGCGGAGATCCTGAAAGAGAGAGGCGCCTACAAGATCTATGTCATGGCCACCCACGGCATCCTGTCTGCAGAGGCCCCCCGCCTGATTGAGGAATCCTCCGTAGATGAGGTTGGGCTGCTTCTAAATCTTGAGCCAAGATTTGCTGCTGTGTTTTCTGGGAATAAGATTCAGTCAATACTAAATTGCTTAATCTGTCTATAGCTTTTCTAACTTTTGCCGGCTAGCAGTTTGTTGGGACAGATACATGTTTAGGAATACAGATAGTCTGCGACTTACCGTGGTTCAACTTAGAATTTTTTGACTTTATGATGATGCAAAACCATCGTAATTACAATGTAATGTATAGTATTCGTTAAATTACTTGAGGTATTCAACACTTTATTTTAAAATAGTAGCTTTTATTATAAAATGAAAGCCTTTGCCCTAGATGATTTTGCCAACTACAGTCTAATGTAACTGTTCTGGGCATATTTAAGTTAATGATGTTCAGTAGGTTAGGTGTATTAAATGCATTTTTTTTTTCTTTTTTTTTTTGAGATGGAGTCTTTGTCACCCAGGCTGGAGTGCAGTGTTCCAATCTCGACTCGCTGCAACCTCTGCCTCCCGGGTTCAAGTGATTCTCTTGCCTCAGTCTCCCAAGTAACTGGGATTACATGCGCCCGCCACCAGGCCTGATTAATTTTTGTATTTTTAGTAGAAACGGGGTTTCACTATGTTGGCCAGGCTGGTGTCAAACTCCTGATCTCAGGTGATCCGCCCGCCTCGGCCTCCCAAAGTGCTAGGATTACAAGCATGAGCCACTGTGCCCGGCCTAAATGCATTTTCTACTTAAAATATTTTCAACTTATAATGATGTGTTTATCCAGACGTAACCCTATCATAAGTTGAGGGTTATGTTGAGAGTCTGTGTATGTCTATTTGCATAACAATTTGCCTGGGTACTTTAATTTGACACCCTAGGAGCGTTTCTCTTGAGGCTGGAATTCTTCCCTTATGATCTGAGAGTTCTGCACAGCACTGGGGCTCACTGTTTCTGTGTGGAGACCATGTCATTCCTGAGATTTTCGTCTTTTGTTCTGAGGCCATGTAACTTTTCCTTTGCATAAAATTAGTTAAGTTTGGTTTATAAAAACTATACTCAGTGGAACAAGGTTTTGTAGTTTGGAACTTAGGCTGTGGGGACTCAGTGTTAGATAAACTTTTCTGTGTAACCAGTTTGAAACACACTTCAGTAACAGTGTTTGTTTTCCATCACTGTGTGACTAGGTGGTGGTGACGAATACTGTCCCTCACGAGGTTCAGAAGCTGCAATGTCCCAAGATAAAGACTGTGGATATCAGTTTGATTCTTTCTGAAGCCATTCGGAGAATCCACAACGGAGAGTCCATGGCCTACCTTTTCCGAAACATCACTGTGGATGACTAACTTTCACGAGGGTCTGGACCCTGGACCTCCTGAGGGAAACATGGAAAAAGCAGTGCCATGAGTGATACAGTGTTTCCTTGCAAGGGAGGACTGGAAACAGCCTGGAGTTAGATAGTCTCTCCTGCCCGGATTGATGGGTAGGAGGGATTGAAAGAGTCAGGAAGAAGACAGAGCTAATGGATAAATGTCATAACATGGCTTTATATCTCTGCTGTCATCAGCCCTGATTCTTAAAAGTTCTAGCTGCTTTCCTGAAAATAATCTGAAAATCTTACTGATACTAAAGAGGAGTTAAAGGCACATAAAGTCTTAACTCTATAATGTTCGTTTAGTTGTTTCAGCTCCAGGGAAATGGAGGTATTGATGTTGAACCTGGTTAGGGAAGCTGAGCGCCTGTGGCTCTGTTACTATCCAGTTGGCCTCTCCCAAATCAACTTCAAGTCTTTTATAGAGAATCGTATTTTTCTTTCAGAAATTGTTATGCCTACAGCCATTGAAAAATGAAGCATTCATGTTGTTACATCTTCCAAGGATGTCAGATTAGAAAATAGCATCCCACCTCTGGAAATCTGAGTGGCTCTGAAGTTGCAAATAAAAGAATTTGTTGTCTTGCTGGTCTTTTCATTAGATGGCAGAAGACCGTAGTTACAGAACAGCAGTCAGGTCTGTGGCTGGACACACTTTCCCAGGTTCTGCCCTCTTCCTAAGTGTTGAAGCTGAATCCTTGTTGAATACTATATTTTACATCTAAAAAAAAAAAAAAAAAAAAAAGGCTTTG